ATAGTAGATAATTAGAATAAGTTTTGACTGCACAGTTGGTGCGGTGGCTGGGCAATCGGGTGCCGTGCAACGTGTCGCGGGTTCGATTCCCGCACGGAACAACACTTTGTGTGATCCACAAATTGTTGTTTCGGGTCTGGGTGTGATGTGTATGTGAACTTGTATGTTTGTAAAGGTACCCACGACACATGAGAAAATCCTAAAGTGGGGCAACGTTTTAAAAAAAAAAATATGTTGCTAATTATTGTTTGGATGTTAGGTATATAAAAATGGGGTGCATTCGGCTTTTATTTTGAATCGTATTAATAATAATATTAGCTAAAACGTATTCCTTTATTTCAATATGAAATTACAAACATTGCAAAAAAATAGTATAAAACAGCATTGGGTATTAAAATATTCGAACGGACGACGTATAGAAACGAGGGACGGAAAAACCGAAGGCTCATTGTTCGGTCGTTTTCCGTGTACTTTGTCACGGTGAGGATAAATTGCATCATTGCGTGTGACGCAATAGAACAAATCAGGTTTATAGGATTCCCATGCCATTTCGGAAATAATTTCATATACGGTACCAGTTTTTTTTATTACAATGTCCTGAATCCAACCTTTTAGCTTTTTTTCTTCTTCATCATAATATTCACCTAAAACTGAAATTCTTCTTTAAAATGCATCATTTTTGACAGTCTCTTGGTGTTATTATTCTTCTCTTTCCTGGGACTCTGATCATGTTGTTACTATTGTTCAGCCCACATTATTATGTCAATTGGACGTCGCATCATCCAGACATCGTCATGATCATCAATCAGCTGGAAATTTATAATTCTTTTTTATTATGTTTGTTAGGGCTTGGAGTAAGTTTTTAAAACAAATCGAACATTTGTTGGCAAATTTGGGAAAGACCGTCCGATACTTACTGTTGCTGGTGCATTTACGATCAGTCAAATATAAAAAATTAAAAAATAAACAAATGGTATACTTTAACTATTGATGACGTCCGTAAAGTCTTTTCAGTACTAGTTCTAAATAATAGGTGATTATACCATCCATCATTTTATAAATAATCTTTATTCATCAAAACCTAAGGAGGTTTTATCATGATTTTAAAAAAAATATTTTTTACGATTATCTTTAGTATTTCCATATTTAAAAATATTATCCACATCAAATTTGGGGAAAATCACACCTCATTTGACTTACAATACCTTTAACTTAGACAAAGCTACTGTATTCGCTGGTGCATCACATTTTGCTGTAACCGTTAAAGTCAGCGTTACAGTTACTGTTAAATTTAACACTAACTAATACTATAACTACTTTCTGTGGCACAACTAAGCCTAAAATTTGTTGTATTTGTAAAAAACGATGTATTTGTTTGGACTGTGAGTGTTTTTTTTTAAATTGAATAATGTGAAATCTGTCCGTGAAAACCTATAATTGGCTCTCTGGTGTTATTATGTTATCTGTTTGTTTGCTATGTGTAGCTGTTGGTTTTCCAATCCATAAATAAATAAATAAAATAGCTGTTGTCGAATTAGACCATATTAAACAAATAATAATAAATTATGACGTTCTTATCAAACATAACTTGTAGCGATGTGAGTAAGAAGGTATGAATCACATTGGGTACGTTGTATATAAACAGCCACAAGCTCTGACCGCCATCATTCAAGGAACCAGCAACATGTGGAAGTGTGCAGTACTACTCTCTGTCTGTTACCTGGGTCTGGCTGTGGCTCAGGGATTATTTGACAACTTAGATTTAAAGCCTTCGCAACATCCAGGTTAGTTTTTGGACCACAATTTTCTCAATTTTTATCCATTTGTGTATTAAAAATGTCACCTTACCTTTTCGTTTTCCAATGTCCCATATGGGAGGGGACGACCTATGCTAGACTAATATCGATCTTCAAACAATTGCCTAGATAGGCACATAATATTATTAGTGGCATGGCAGAAGATGAAGAAAGTATGAAATAAAGGGAAAATAAATAATGGGTGTTAAATTTTTTTCTGTCGATACCTAATGTAACGCCTTTTTTTGTTTCAGCCTGTGGCAAGAACGAATATTTCGAAAAGTGTACATTTGAATGTCCAGCAGAGAAGACTTGTGAAAATCGTTTAATCGTTGCGTATTGTCCAGATGTTATAATGCCCTGTATCCCAAAATGCATATGTAAAGCAGGTTACTACAGGAAGACTCCAGGCGGTGAATGTATCTCAGAAGCAGAATGTGGTAACAGTTATATTACTAAAAATTAAACCAATAAAATGTGCCCAAAACATTCCACTGAAGCGTACAACTTTGGGACAATTCCTAGTAATGGCATCAGTTCATGTAATACGGTTCCGCAGGGATGTATTTTGGGCCCATCATTACTTAATCTTTAAATGCTTAATAGTGACTTTATTCATCATGCTGCTGACTTAAAAATTTACTCGTGACTAAAAAACTATTAAGATGTTAAGAAAGCCTGGCAAGACAGATTCAACTCATACTGTAACTTAGAGTTAAGTCGTAACAACTGCGAAAATATAAACTACAGAAAAATAATACTACAACTTTTCTGTAGTTTTCTTTTCTTCTTTTTTTTCTCACTGTTTTAGTGTAGTTAATTTTAAGTTGTATATCATTTATTCATAATTATTCTGTTATATAATGTTCTCATTTTCAATTGATTCATTTTCAGTCAATTCAATTGATTTTTGAAGCTTTACAACATTATACGTTATCCCAAATGCTATTGTCCCAAACTGCTAGGCTCACCTGAATGTAGAAGATGACAAAAATAATGAAGTGGGTGCTTTGTCTCTATATTTATTTGTGTAATTAATAAAATTTAATATTATTAATTATGGTTTTCGTACCCTGTTTGGTTCCTCTTTATATGTACAATATTAAAATGCCTTACATCTTATAAATTACGTTTTGTTTCTTCGCACTTACTTTTGGCCTGGGGAGGATGACCTCTCTCAGACTATGACACAATGAAAAAAAAATCACAATGAAAAATATAATTAATTATTATTATCAACTATATTTTCAGGCTCAAGCCTCCAAACAATAATGATAAAATTTAAAATTATACTTATCTTCCAATTATTCAAAAGAACTTTCTCAATCTCACAACTCTAACAACAACTTTACAATAAATATGCTCTTTTAAAAAATACAAAATACAAAAATGAAAAATACACCACTTTCTTTCGCTTCACATTATTCTACGATTGCTTATTTCTTTTTATTAATTATGTGACTGAAGGCGTAACATAAGCTACGTTAAATTGTGTTTAAAAAAAATATCATTACACCTTATTCAGGCTTGGCCGTTTTACTATTCAATATTATTACATGGACTCGACCTTAGAAGTCTTACTCGACCTTAGAAGTCTTACTCGACCTTAGAAGACATATTATGTATTACTCTCCTGTTTTATGCTATTTTTGTGGTAACAAATTAGCCAGGCCAATTGTTAAAGTACCAATTCACCCCGATCATGTATGTAGTTCCGCAAGCTGTAAACGTGTTCGATAGATGGCGTTGTACAAATTCTTAGTTAGGCTGAATCGCGCTATGGTTTCGTTACACGCGTTTGGTTAGGGTGTTCGTGCTGCAGGTGGAAAATAGATTGTAAAGGATTACTATGTAGTCCTTAGCTTATAAGGATTGTGATATTTGGATACATGACCCACATGGAGTTCTGTTCCATTAGGGAACAGATTTGAATTTTTTGATAACTCGTAGTTGAGGGACTAACGAGTTTGTAAATCTTGTAATTAACTTGATTAATGCCATCTATAATAAATCCCGAACTGGAGTTAGGGCCAATTTTTCCAACCAGTCACATTTCAGTTAAATTTTAAATGACAAATAACTTCGAATATTTGATTATTTTTTCATACTTAAAACTGTCAAATGTCAATTATATTCTACACTTAAAAATTTACTGACGATTGAAAACACACAGTATTGCTAAATGGCAGACGCATGTTGACACTGTGTGCGCAAAGCTTAGAACATTTTTGTGTAAGTTATATGCACTAGAAGCGCCATTAAATAGAACAATATTACGCACTGTTTATTTTGCTCTAGTCGAGACGTTAATAGGTTACGGATTAAGTGTCTATGGTCGCACTTTCAAAACTTATATTGATAGCAATAAATCCCTGCAAATCTTGAGCTTCTTTATAAGGCTCGCTGTGAGAGGCCGTTTCAGTTACATAAATGGCCGTTTCAGTAACACACATTGATTATAGACTTTCGTCTTGAGGCATTGAGGTATGTAGAACGAGAAGATGTTGCATAGTTTCCCGAACGCTGCTCATCCAAGTTGCATTCGACGATTGACTTCTCGAAATTGGACCTACCTAGCTGGATCATTTGTCCCATATTTGACAACAGTTTCGGATGCTGATGGAGCTCTCATAGGCGTTCGACATGACTTTTGTTTTGTTCATGCATGTTCAACACACGCACGCGTACGCACACGGATAAAAATATGCATGTGGATGTGTGTATAAGCGCTGCAGCACAACCGATAGTAGTCTTATGGTGGCAGTGGACTTTTGACCTTTGACCGTACATTCGGAGCTCTGTTGGGAAAATCTACAGAGGTCATCGAGTATTGTGCTCAGATCTGCCAGCGATTCTGCCATGGCTACAATGTCATCGGCAAACAGGAGGTGAGTGATGTACTCGCCGTTGATGTTGATGCGAGACTCTTTCCATCCCAAAAGTTTGAAGGCGTCTTCCAATGCAGCGGTAAACAGTTTTGGAGATTTGACGTCTCTTTTCCTTACACCTGCAGAGGAATATCTCTCGTGTTCCGGTCCTGTACTTGGACCGACATAGTGGTGTTTATGTACAAGCACTTCAAAACCTCGATGTACCGATAGTCAATATGGCAACTCTGGAGAGATCTTAACACTGCCCAAGTCTTCAGAGAGTCGTTGTTGTTGTTGATGAAGTTGAAGACAACTTTATCATATTCGAAGGAGTAAAGCCGGCGGCATAGGGCACAAGTGTGGTGGTGCTGTTCTTCAATAACGGAGATAATCCTCTACTGAAAAATTACAGACCTATCTCACTTCTGAGCCATGTCTACAAGCTGTTTTCGAGGGTCATCACGAGTCGTCTTACACGTAGTCCGTCCACTGAAGAAAAATTATTATGGATCAAGCACCAAAAAGTATCTGATTCCGACGTTATACATTGATTGGTTAAGGCACATTACTTTTTACATAAAACTGAAGAGTATGTAGCATACAGACTCTTCAGCTTTATATGAAGGCACAAATCTCAGGAACTTACTGGTCCGATATAAATGATTCGCTAAGAGGAACGGTCAAAATTATACCGTCTCGATTTTTGACAGAAACTATACAACTGTGAGATAGTGGCCAAACGTCAAAACATCAAATATATCAAAACAAAAAATAACAAGCGTCATAAATAGATGTAAAAGTATTTGCAATTATTTTTAACTAATCATCACATTCATAACTTTTTACTTCATTTAGTTGCAAAAAATTATCTTGCATAAAGGCACCAGTTGATACCCACTAGAGCAGGTTATATCTATATAAACACACAAGCTCCTCACGTCAATACTCGAGGAGCCGGCAACATGTGGAGGTGTGTAGTGCTGCTATCTATCTGTTGGGTGGGACTAGCCACGGCTAGATCTCATATGGGTGAGTTTTGGTGCCAAGCTACAACTTTGAATTACATTTATTTTTCCTAATCCGTTTGTATTGTATTGTTTCCTCTTTCCAGATTGTGGACCAAATGAAACCTTTAATAGTTGTGTGAATGAATGCCCCCCAGAAAAATCTTGTGCCACTCGTATAGAACATGTATTTTGTGTAGGATTTCCAATATTCTGTGCAGCAAAATGTGTATGCAAAGAGGGCTACTACAGGAGGTTTGAGGACGGGGAGTCGGAGTGTATATCAGATGAAGAGTGTGGTGAGTGAATTGTGTTTATCTTTTTTGTAGTTACCTGCAATCATAGTACGGTGCTATACTTATACATTGCGTAGCTTTGAAAACTAAATGAAAGAAAAAATATTGTACAAAACATACACAAAAATTGTCATTTTAAAAATGTATGTGTAATATTAATCGGGTGCTTCGATTGATTGGCAACTGTTTGTTAATTTCTAGGAACTACTTGTGATGTGGGTGAGAAGCACACGGAGCTATGTCTGTTTATGTATTATGTAGTAGATTATTTAATCTTCAATCATAACAAGATACTATACACATTGCGTAACCTTGAACTTTACGTTAATAAAGTCCACACAAGCATATGAAATGAAGAAATGAAATGATGCTTATTTCTGCAAATAGGTACAAAGTAACACTTTTACACGTCAATCTTTAAATTACTAGATGAGGGCCAGCATTTCCTAACTAAATACTCTGAGAAGAAACGCCGAAACAAATTCAGAGGTAGCTACAATGTGCACGAACCTAATTTGTTTTACGACTGTTTGTTTATCCAGGACCAGCTTGTGGCGCAAATGAGGAGTACACGGAGTGCAGAAACCCTTGTGTGAACGAAAGCTGCGCAGCAATGGGAAGTCTGAAACCAAACTGTACTGAAACCTGTGAACCAGGATGTCCTTGCAAAGAAGGCTTCTTTAGATTACACAACTACTGGCCTTGTATTCCTAAATGTTCTTGTGATGAGTTGCGAGATACACCCGAGTGTAGAAGTTAATTAAATAAAATCCAAGTGTTTTAGAGATTTTTATTACAGTCTTTGTTTTGATAATCTTAAGATACATCACATGGAACTGTCAAAATTAGTTACAAATATTAAATGATATCCAACCAAAAACAATTTGTGATAAACTCGCCAAGTCTCGATGGAGTCGCTCATCTTTAAAAAGTAATGAAGTCTAGACAAAGTCGTTCTAAGTTTAAGGTTCCTTACTGTGATCTCTGTATTATAGTTAATATGTTGTGTGACTTGCCTAATGAAAAAATATTATAATGATAAACTACAAAATGGTACTTAACTTCTAATTATTAAAAAAAATACTTTATCAACCTCGCAAGGTTAACAACCACTTTTCAATTAGGTCAAAAAATGTTCATATAGATACTACTTACTACTACTTTCTTTTGTTTTACACTATTCATTAATTGCTTATCTTTATATTAAATATGTGACGGAAGGCATATTACATAAAGTCGAAAAACATTGACAATTTCTCATTCCTGATCTTCAAATACCTATTCCCAAAGATCCGGTACCGCATTTACAAATACTATAACTCTTCTAATGTTTCGAGTTATACTATAAAAAGCTACCTACCTCGCTAACATTCGTTTGCGTATATCTACTTACAATCTACTGGATGTATAAAAAAGTAAAAAACATTAACTATTTATTATGCTGTAGTCGAATCGTTAATGGATTACGGATTGAGTGTCTATGGTCGCACTGTCAAAACTTATTTAGATAGCATTAAATCCCTACAAATCTGTTTTCTTAAACGTCTAGTTCCACCTAAAAGTTAGACGTAAATGTAAAGATAACTATGAAAGACCATATATAATATACTTCCTGTTCACTTGAGTGGTTTTACAGTCAACAAGATTTCCTCAAAAGCAGCAAATAAATATAACACAAGACGTGTTAGAGAAAATATGTTAGTTCGTCCACCGATGAAAAAATATTATGGATCAAGAACCAAAAGTATCTGATTTCGACGATGTTGATTGGTTAAAGCATATCTTGTACTATTATATAAAGCTGAAGTGTCTGCTAATTTGAACGCACTAATCTTCGGACCTACTAGTCCGATATGAATGATAAGATGAACGGTCATAATTACACCAAAATCTCTGGATCGATATCGATTTTTGATAGAAGCTCCATACATCTGTAAACGTCGAAATATCAAATATATAGCAAAACTAGCGTCACGAATAGGTATACATGGCATTATTATATAAGTTTTTACTTTATTTTTTTGCAAAAATTATCTTGCATGACCCACTAGAGCAGGTTATATATAAACCCCGAAGCTCCGCACGTCAATACTCGAGGAGCCGGCAACATGTGGCGGTGTGCAGTACTGCTGTCTATCTGTTGGGTGGGACTAGCTGCGGCTAGGGCTTATATGGGTGAGTTTTGGTGCCAAGCTACAACTTTGAATTGGGTACTTTCGTTAATCAGAAATAAATTATTTCGATCACCATAACTTCAAACAACTGTTCAAGTCGAAAGAATTTATTTTTCATTATGCAATACAATATTAAAAAAAAGCAACATACCGGCCGAATGTATAAACTCCTCCTTTTTTGAAGTCGTTTAAAAATAATCACACTTTCACTAATTGATATTATGACTAAGTTAAAAAAAAATCCAGAATTTTTTTAAGAAATTAGTATTTTGTTTGACCCTAAAAAAACGTGACTTCACATCACAATCTCATACAAAATTCATAGAAAACTATCGTTTTTGACAGTTCGAAAAAAGTATTAAATTTAACTAGTTTTGGCAAGTACCCCCAATTACATTTATTTTCGCTAATCCGTTTATATATTGGTTTCCTCTTTCCAGATTGTGGACCAAATGAAATCTTTAACAGTTGTGTGGATGAGTGCCCCCCAGAAAAAGCTTGTGCTACTCGTATAGAAGGGGTATTTTGTGTAGGATTTCCAATACTCTGTGCACCAAAATGTGCGTGTAAAGAGGGCTACTACAGGAGGTTTGAGGACGGGGAGTCGGAGTGTATATCAGATGAAGAGTGTGGTGAGTGAATTGTGTTTATCTTTTTTGTACTTACCTGCAATTATAGTACGATGCTATACATATACATTTCGTAGCTTTAGACACTAAGAAAGAAAAAAAAATGTACAACACAAACACAAAATTGTTATTGTGACTATCTTGTTGGCCGAGTGGTCGCAAGTGCGTTTGTCAGGCCGGTCTCAGGTTCGATTCCCGGTTCGGGTTAATATTACTGGGTTAAAAAAAATCTCAGTGGTAGCACGGAGTCTGGAATTGTACCCGGTATATGGCAATAATCTCACCCCTTATTACATGGGACTCATAACATAAACAGTGAAAAGTGGGGGTTACATTGTACACTGTACTGCATTAAGTACCGTAACGTGGACCTCTGCCTACCCCTTCCGGAATAAAAGGCGTCATTGTAAAATTTACATTTTAAAAAATGTATGCCGATGCCATTAATGGCCTGGTGCTCCAATTGATTGGCAACTGTTTGATTATTTCTAGGACCTACTTGTGATCCAGATGAGAAGTACACGGAGTGTGCAAACCATGTCGATGACAGCTGTACTGCAATGGGAAGTCCGAAACCGAATAGCACTGAGCCTTGTGTACCGGGATGTGTCTGCAACGAAGGGCTCTTTAGGCTCTACAACAACGGGCCATGCTTACCTAGACGATATTGTCAAGAGTTAAGGCATGCGCCCGAGTGACACACAATTACTTACGTTAAATCCGTTGGCATTAGAGATCTATCATTATACGAGGTACAAAACATTCAGTTAAGGCCGATTTTACAATCAATCAACTCTGTAGTGAAATTTAATAACGACTATTATTGTATAAATTGCTGATTTTAATAAAATTTAATTGTTTTAATTTTTCATTAATTTTTATACCTATAAAATTTGTTCGCCACTATTGGCGAAACATGGACGCACAACATACTATTTAACATCTTGCATGTCTGATTACTCGGTTTATGTATAGGTACGCATGTTTTACAAATAAACAATCTTTCTTTCTTTCTTTCTCATTCTTTCTTCAACAGATAACTTTTATTTCTATAATAAAACTAGCTGACCCGGCGAAATTCGTACCGCGTAATACTCTAACCTACTCTATCCCACTCTACCCTACTCTACCCTACTCTACCCTACTCTACCCTACTCTACCCTAATCTTATAATCGGTTAAGTGGTTTAAGAGTCCATTAAGGACAAACATTGTGACACGAGATTTATATATATTAAGAGAAGATTGACATCTGACAATTTTTCCATATAAAAACTGTAAACAAAACAGAATTATTTTTGGCGATAAAGGTAATTGGCATTGGAAAAGTCAACCTTAATGCCCAAATACTGGAAGGCTACTTAATTTTAAATTATATTAAAATAATGAGACATAGATGAATAAAAAAATAAAACTTTAATCATTAGGGGGAAGTCCCGTAACGCCGGACGGCACCTAACGCCGTACGCCTGTATTATCTCGATAACTGATAACACGAGCGATTCAATTTTTACTAAAAATCTTAGGTGTCTGCCACTGGGAGACTTCCCCCTAAAAACTGAATCGCTCGCGTTATTAGTTATAGAGATAATACAAGCGTACGGCGTTAGGTGCCGTCCGGCGTTAAGGGGCTTCCCCCTATAAGAAACTGGTCATAGTACAGATAAACATCTTAATTTAAAATCAGAGATCTCACTAGTATAGGCACTAGGAAGAATATCCTGTATCACAGGCGAAAGGAGCACTCACAATATTACAAACTAGCTTCTGCCCGCGACTTCGTGCGCACAATCACATTTTCCCCCGTTCCCGTTCGTGATTTTCAGTAAAAAGTAAAAAAAAAAGAATTCTATAAAAAGTATCCTATGTCCGTCTCCTGGTTCTAAGCTACCTCCCTGCCAATTTTCATCTAAATCGATTGAGGCGTTCTTGAGTTATAAATATATAGATTGACATGACATCTCTGTTATTTTATAAATTTCTAGTGATATAACTATTATGTTGTAAGCGCTACTTAAAATGACGTGGCATTGCAGTATTTATACATTAACCGGTAAGATAAGTTTGAAAAATTAAAGGATTTCCAACTGTTCTCTCGGTTTTTAATTTATAATTTGGATTCGTTCCTACGTTGGCATGCGAGGTATTAACTGCATTTCCTATTTATGTCCTGACTATCATTTATGTCGTCATGAAGAACTCTTCATTACACATTTTACGTACCTACTAGGTACTATAATAGTCAAATCTAAAGCTTTGACTGTCAATAGAAAATTGTTAAAGGCAATTCCTCCGCTAACGTCGGTCACCAGTAATCCCCATGGCATTTAACGTGTTAAATATCACCATCAACAGCCTATAAATGCCCACTGCTGAGCACAGCCTCTTCTCACACGGAGAAGGTTTGAACATTAATCATCACGCTTACTCAATGCGGGTTGGCGATTACAAACTTATAATTAGAAATTATAAGCCCAGGTTTCCTCACGATGTTTTCCTTCACCGTTTGTCAGTCGTGTCTAAATAATCTTAGAAAGTACATATAAGTCGGAAAAAGTTTGGTACTTGCCGTTGGTAGGTTTCTAACCCTCACCCTGTCGCGGAGAACCTAACGGGTAACCGGGGCTCCGGCTCGACGTGCAGGAGAAGGAACGGGGTGGTTTTTAGATAGTAAGAGTCTGACACTCGCTCCCGCCTCACCCAGGCGGGAGCAGTGATTTGATGATTTTCCCCCCTTAAAAAAAAACCCTTATCCTCATTCATGAGAAGCGGGAGGTCTTAAGCCTCTGGGCCACCACGACATTAACTATTAGCCGAAACCAATAAATAACCAATCTGTAATATCTTTAATATTGACCTGTGACACTACTTATATCGAGTCTCTGTCAAAAAATTTGATTTATACGGGGATTTTTGATAAAAATCTATTATTGGTATATAAACAAACGTGGGATTAACATGTTTTTTTGCAAAAATTACGTTATGTTAATGATCACGTTGATCTACACTACAGCGTAGAACGTCCGCTCGATAAAGATAAATATGAGCAGCCACAAGCCGGGCTCTTCAATACTCGAGGAGCCGGCAACATGTGGAGGTGTCTAGTATTGCTGTCTGTCTGTTGCGTGGGACTAGCTGCGGGGCAGGGACTTCTCGGCAGGCCTATTCCATCTTCAGTTCCTATGGGTAAGATACGTACGGCTAACAATGTCAGACTAAATATTATATTTATTTACTAATAACATAACATCACGCCTTTTATCCCCGAAGGGGTAGGCAGAGGTGTACATTATGCCACTGTACAATGTAACACCCACTTTTTCACTATTTATGTTATGTGGCCCATGTAATAGGGGGTGAGCCTATTGTCATATATCGGGCACAATTTCAGACTCCGTGCTACTACTTTGATTTTTTAAAAACCCAGTAATACTTTGCCCGACCCGGGATTCGAACCCGAGACCCCTTGCCCGGCAATCGCACTTGCGACCACTCGGGCAACGAGGCAGTGTATACAGTTTTTACTAATACTGTATCCCCTTTTTCCAGAATGTGGACCAAATGAAATCTTCAATGACTGTGTACCAGAATGCCCTCCAGAAAAGACTTGTGACACTCGTAAAGAATATGTCGCTTGTCTAGCAATCTCAATACTCTGTTCCTCTAAGTGTATATGTAAAGAGGGTTACTACAGGAAGACTGAGGGTGGGGAGTGTATATCAGATGAGGAATGTGGTAAGCGATGTCTGTTTATGTATTATCTAATAGTTTATTTAATCTGCAATCATAACAAGATACTATACACATTGCGTAACCTTGAACTTTACGTTATTAAAGTTCATACGTATACGTAACTAATTGCTTTACGACTGTTTGTTTATCCAGGACCAGCTTGTGGCGTTAATGAGGAGTACACGGAGTGCAAAAATCCTTGTGTGGACGAAAGCTGCGCAGCAATGGGGAGTCTGAAACCGAACTGTACTGAACCCTGTGAACCAGGATGTGCTTGCAAAAAAGGGTTCTTTAGATTACACAACTACTGGCCTTGTTTTCCTAGATGTTATTGTCATGAGTTACGAGATGCACCCGAGTGTAGAGGTTAGGTAAATTAAACCCGTATTAAGGGCCGTCCATAAATTACGTCATATGTTAAGGGGTAGGGGACGACGAAGTGTGACATTGTGTGACAAGGGGTAGGGAGGGATTCTAAACTTTGTGATGTCACATTAAAAAAAATATTATTAAACACGAAATATAATTGTATTAATGTTTATTATTTTGTTTGATTTGGAATTATTATTTTTATAATGGAAAATTATAGAAATAAAACTGATTTCGGAACCGCTGTTTTCATTCAATATTTTTTATACATACCTACGTTATTCTGCAAAATGTGTCGTCGCACGAAGGAGGTCTCACATCATGAAATTCGTGAGACTCAATTTATGGATTACCCCTTACATATCTTTATCACAGTACACTTTGTTTTAATGATGTTAAGATATAAAATATTGAACTGTCAAGATTAGTTAGAAACATTAAATAAATTCGTACTTCATTTCTGTCTTTCATTGTGCTGTTGATACACAATGGTAGTACCTACTTACCATGTATGAATAAATTGTGACTTTTACCCAACTATTTTGCTATCATTAAGAAATCTTGATGATGCTTCATACGTACCTATTATGGTGATTGAATCTAAATATTTACAATATTTATTAACTATAAACATACATGGTAGTTGCAAAAAATCAAATTAAAACAACTTGACTTTTTGCTCCAAAACAAAATGACGTAATGTTAAAAATCACATTGAACTACACTAGGGCAGGTTTCACCTTGATAAAACTGAACTGATACAAGCCGGCAACGTGTGAAGGTGTGCAGTACTACTGTTTGTCTGTTGTCTTGTGGGGGACACCCCGCGGTTCGGGGCTTATTTGATGAGGTTAATCTAAATTCCATTCGTATTGAGCATAATTTAGGGTGAACGTCTTTAATTTTTTATGACACAAACGGGAAAAGACGTGAAATTATATTAAAAAAAAACTTCAACCCCCCCTTCTTTTGAAGTCGTTTTATATTTATAAACTTTTCTAAAAACCGCATCAGAATCGCAAACAATCACTATTTTCCTTCATTTTCCTTAACATTTATAAAATATTAGTTTTTACCCGTGGCTTCGCTCGCGTCACAAAAGGATAAAAAGTAGCCTATGTGACATATACCAATACATACAGCGCCATCTATACCAATTATTTCGTTTTCCCTCTACCTCTAGAATGTCAATATAAATATAAAAGCACCCTATTATTTAATCCAGACTTATAACTTTACGTCTGCAAAAATTCAAAGCAATCGGTTTAGTAGTTACGGCGTGAAAGCGGAACAAACAAACAAACTCACTTTCCGATTTATAATATTAGTAAGGATTGTTTTTTTTTTAATACGATGACGTAATTAAGTAAATTATGCTAATCTCCTCTAAAGCTGCTACCTATTATATATATAAGCAGTGACAAGTCGGGCTCGTCAATACTCGAGGAGTCGGCAACATGTGGAGGTGTGCAGTACTGCTGTCTGTCTGTTGTGTGGGACTAGTTGCGAGTCAGGGATTACTCGACGGCTTTAATCCTTTTAGAGTCCATATGGGTGAGTTCTATTTAGTTTGCACGTCAATTTATTATAATGGAATGTAAGTAATTTAGACAAACGTATATTTTGGATAAAAAGATAATAATTATGTAGTTTCGGTTCACATTTACCAAAAACTTGGAAGCAGTGCTCCCCGATAAACTGGAATCATTTAATTTCAAACCGCAATTTCTTCTAGCTTCTTCTAGCTACTTGCTAAACGTGGATATATTATAGTAATATATAAAAATAATTAATAATTTTTATTTATTTTTCCATCATATTACATAGATGTAGACCTTAATAAGTACTAGTTTTATAATATGGACAAAGGAGAACGGCAGATTTCGTACCGCTTTGCTAAAAAAAGATTTGTCATTGTTTTGCCTTGGGCAATTGGGTAGCTATAGAATCCTCTAAATACGTTATGTTAGCATATTTAATAGATTTTTAGAACTTGGGAAGCCCTAGAAAATCTCATATTCAATAATGATAAGAAGCAATCAACAAAACGGCTACATATTAAATAAAAACAAACCGCGATTGACGTTTATAAAGTTGCCATGCGTAAACATGAAATCAGAGTATATTGAATGTCGCTATTTCATAAACTCATTTATTTTAATATCAATGGAATATTTTCCTTTCCATTTCAAACATTTTTTATAAGTAAATATCATTATTTTAATTTCATTTTGTGAGGTCTACATGGATTATTAACGATAATTAACATTTTCACAAACTTGAATATGGCAATGTTGAACTGGTATTTGACATTTGTTGTTGAAGACGATTTGTCAATGTCAAGTGCGCCTTGCTGTTGGTTTCGAATGCGGTGTTATGATGTGTTTGTACAAATTGGAAGTCATTTTATTCATCTGGTGATACTTTGAGTTGGGCAGCCGTTCCTCCGTAGCCGAAATTGCGAAAATACACTTATTTTCATTTGTGCATAGTGTGTTGTATTTTGTCGCGATGACGAATTTACAGTGCATTAATTACAACCAGAGTTTGTCGCATGAGACGGCATGCTCTAGGAAATGAGAGTGAAGACTAGACGTGGTCAACAATATCCCATTGTGGACTTATCCTAGAGATGTAAGTAGGTACTTACCTATAATTACACATGACGTATCGAAAGTCACCTTGTTGCCTAAATAAAGGGGGCATAGTGTTATCTACCTATAATGTATCATTTTATTCTAGATCTCTCCTACCGACCATATTTGCCATGCTTGCTGGCAATTAGCAATGTATTGGGATGTTCCTGAAAGTATGTCCAGCAAACAAACTGATCATTGACATGTCTGTGTCGTATGTGGGCATTCCATTGCAAGGATAAGGTGACGCAGGGGTTTAATTGAAGGCGCCAACGAACAGGAGCAAAGACTAGCTCATATAGTATCTGATTGGATTCAGCCACGAAAGGTAATAATTTATTGTATTAACCATATACTATTATCATATAATTTAAAGTCAATATGACATTCTAATAATATTACTTTTTTTAGCTTACTTCCAATGATGAAGATCGTGTTCCATGCTGGCTGAGAGCCTTAACAAGAGTCGGATCTATAAGACCACAACCTGACATACCACCTCATAGTGTTCACTATCAGGATGTAATGTGTTATGTAAACATGGACTAAGCCTCACTTTAACATTGCCGTTTGTAGAACAGATGAGGCCAGAAGATGTTGATCGGCTGTCAGAGCTTCAATAGGTATGTGAAGTGTATAACCGGTTTATAATAGGTTTATACACATGTTATAATTATAATAATTGATTAATTAGCATGCTGTTTGAGCTCCTATGATGTGTGTTATAGGAATACCCTATTAAACTGTCAAACACCAAGCGGTCACCGGTGACCGCAACCTATTGTTCTATAATTGTGTCTATAATGATGGTACTCGACGAGTTAAAGGCATTTTAACATTGTAAAATCAAATAATGTAATCAAATATTTATTTTTATCTTTTCTATTTTGAGATAGGGAATCAGAATTATAACATGTGAAACTAATGGAAAAAATGTTGTTTTGTTTACTTTATTTACAGTTATCTTACTTGTTTACAGATATCAGCAATTAATGAAGTGTGTGCTGTATGACACCGCCTGCTCTCTTTTTAGAAGAAGTACTCCTAGAAACAACCTAAATACAATGAAATAAAAGTATTTCAAAATAATACATTTGTTTTATTTTAAACAGGTACCTAGTAACTATATATAAACAATCTATAAAATAAATGCCATCTTTATTTTAGATTGCTTTAGTTTTATACCAAAAATGTTCATTTTCATTTTACATTTCTTTACTTGTGTTGTGGTGGCCAGGAGGTTTAAGAAGCCCGTTTCTCATGCATGAGAGTGCAAGTTGCAACGGCAAAGTACCAATGTGACTTTTTCGAGTTATGTATATATATTTTTTATTTATTATTTAATAATCTAAGAAAGTACAAAGACACCACTGACAAACGGTGAAGGAAAACATTGTGAGGAAACCTGGGCTTATAATTTCTAATTATAAGTTTGAAATCACCAACCCACATTAAGCTAGCGTACTGATTAAACTGTCAAACACAGAGCGGTCACCGATGACCACAACCTATTGTTCTTTAATTGTGTCTATAATTACGGTACTCAACGAGTTAATGCTTAAACCTAATCCAGTGAGAAGAGACCTTCGGTCGGCATGGGCCACTTATAGACTTAATGATGAAACTGATGATGATTTTACTTATTTGACTTACTTATTAGAAATTAAACCTTAAAACGCTTGCTAAGCAACCAGTTTTCAGAAGAAATACTTTCTCAAAGAGCTACGCTTAAGTTTAAATCGAATTAACTTAAAGACTATTTGTATATCAGGCCTCTGCCTCGAATCTTGATTTTACACATTAAATCTTGCATCTGCCCGCAAGATTCAAGGTGAAGTGAGACATTAGTTTTATCATATCCGCCAAAAGACGTCCACTGCTAAATGTAGGCCTTCTACCCAATGACAGTCGCTCACAATATTAATTTGCATTTTCGTAGGCACCTAGTAAATGAAAGAGATTGTAAAGCATACTCTGTAAAACTCTATAGTTACAGCATACTTGCTGAATTAACAGTTAATTAATTTACTCATAATACAAAGTGTAACAGTCACGAGTAGCGAGCAGTGTTTAGAGTTTAGTTTGTAAACAAAACAACCAAATAAAAAATAAGTCAACATTGACATTTTTCAATTAACTGTCATCTGTCATTTGTCATATTATGTACTTTTGCGTAAAGGTGGCATTATACTTGACATTGCGTATTTGTTGTGTACGGCCAAAACAGACCATGTGTGGAGGGTTTATTCGTCTTCATTTGCTATATACGTATATTTGCACGCTTTTACATTTATAGATACTATTTGGACGCCATTTGTACGTAGTTCACAAATATTTGTACAAATGAAGCGAATACGCAATGGCAAGTGTAATACCGCCTTTACGTACCTTCTGCACATTTTCAAAGTGAAATAACTTTTGAACCCGAAGTTCTAAAAATATGTAATTTTTTTCTAAACTTCATAATAAAAATATCTATCGTTCAGACCATTCACTTGGTTAAAACAATGACAAATACAAAATTTTATAGCGGTACCAAACCTCCATACAAACCTGCCATTCTCCTTTATGAGATACTGGTTCTACATATAATTTAAGTGTCAATGCAATGATGGAAGTCAGGAACCCATAGTTCAAATTTTGATTGTTATTGGCTATTGACGATAAATTGAATTATATTAAGATTTGTAATTCTATGTTTTTTTTTTGCCAGATTGTGGACCAAACGAAACCTTCAACCCATGTACTCAGAATTGCGGGCCTGAACAAACCTGCGACACTCGAAAAATACACACACTTTGTCCAGCTATAGTGATGCCTTGTGTTCCAAAATGTGTATGTAAACAGGGCCATTATAGGAAGACTGAAGGCGGTGAATGTATACCAGAAGAAGAGTGCGGTGAGTGTTTTTTTAACCGACTTCAATAAAAAGAGGTTCGCTGTTTGACCTCTATGTATATTACCTATGTTTGTGCGCGATTAGCTCGTGATTGGCTGAACTGATTTTAATGCGGTTTTCATAAAGTGTTTGTTACACTTAAGAGAATGTTTCAGTATATTAATTAACAGACTTCAAAATAGGGAGTTTGTTTTTGGATAGTCTATTTTCGTAAAAGAAGTTTATAATTCAGAATAACAAATCATTCGTCATTTTAAATTTCGTATTTAAATTTGGTAGCATAATAAAGTATACTTTACCTTGAACTTTAAGTTATCAAGAGCCTTATAAAAACATATCTACTTAATGCTTAAAGAACACGGCAGAGACAAGCCTATTATCGGCCGTTTTATGCTCTTAAACTGCATATTTCTGCTCCCACAGAGTGGGTCGCTGTACTCAGACAAAGTGGGTAACTTACCCACCTTCTTAAAAACAAACATTTTCTATTGATCAGGACCAGCATGTGGCGAATACGAGGTGTACACGGAGTGCACAAACCCTTGTGTGAACGATAGCTGCGAAGCAATGGGGAGCCTGAAACCGAACTGCACCAGCCCGGTGCCTTGTAAACCAGGATGTGTGTGTGCAGAAGGAGCCTATAGACTCTATGAATATTGGCCTTGCGTTCCTAAATGTTATTGCCATGGCATGGAATATTTACCTGAATGTAGAAAAGAAGAAAGATAATAGCAAATTTGCAAATTTTATTTCTGTAATCGTTCTTGTAAATATTTTTTTTTATTGGGCCAAGCCCGTGTGTTTCGTCGTGTGAGTGAGGTTACCAGAGGCCCAATTACCCCCCTAGTCTCCCAAATCCCTGAATCCTCCACAATCCTCAAATTCCCAATTCCCAAAAGGGCGGTAACGCACTTGTAACGCCTTGGTGTTACGAGTGTCCATTGGCGGCGCCGATTGCTTACCACCAGGTGATCCGTCTGTTCGTTTATCGTATTATGCTATAAAAAAAGCTCGCCACAACCTTCCAAAACCGCTGCAACTCCTGTAAGCCAGGATCTACAGTAGATTCAACCATGAAACAACCATATAGATACAACCATGTGAACTGCTTGCTTCCAATAATAATAGGTACCTATGGTATTTATTTTCTTTATTGTTGAATGTTGAAAAAATTAAAAAGGTTTTTATAATAATATTATGTGTTTTGTTTTTTTTTTTGGTGTGGCCAGGGAGATTACCTGCTACTGGCTAATTAAGCACCTACTATTGCTCATCGTGTTATCGATTCCTATCTTTTTTGCCACTGTTAAAGTTTTTATAACTTTTGAAGAGGTATGTTTGTACTTCTTTTAGCAGGTGCGCTTGAGATTATTAAAACAGTCATTCTTTATAAGTTACTTACTTAAATTTGGTTAAACATGAGCAATTATTACCTAATAACAAAATATATTTCTGTACCACATCTCTTTATTTATTTTTCAACTTAGATAATAATGTACCAAAATTTTTTTTAAGGGTGGAAAATCATCGAATGACTGCTCCCGCCTGGGTGTCAGACTCTTACTGACTAAAAACCACCCCGTTCCTTCTCCTGCACGTCGAGTCGGAGCCCCGGTTACCCGTTAGGTTCTAATACGTGTGTATAATGTACCTAATACGTGTTATACACTAACGATCACGGCTCTAGTATGACTCTAGCACGGCGTTTTTTGCTTTCAAATGAAAACAATACAAACAGATTGCAGGCGGCGCGCTGACGGTTTTTTGTATTGACGCTATGGAATATTATGTCATACGACATACGATTGAAAGTTCATATTTAGATAAATGACAATGACATTGCTGTGTTGGAGCCGTGTCGGAGCCGGCCTTGTTAGGTACTCAGTGACCATTAGACGTATTTGGACAACGAGGTTCCAGGGAGATTACCTCTTACTAGTTTATTCAGCACCTATTGAGCGTAGTGTTGTCGTTTCTTTTATTAGGAACTTTTTGCTATGTTTACGTTTTTTATACTGAACTACTGATGTTATTGTTAATGTTTTATAGCTGTTCAAGTACGAACTAGCTTATTGGTTTTTGCAAAGGAATAGTAAATGATTATAGTCTATTTATAGTTCTTGGAGGACTTACAGCTGATTTTGACTATATGTTAATCTAATAAACTAAAACGTTCAAGTCAAGCTAAGCGGTTTTCAAAAAAGTGTTCATTATACTTAGGAGAAATAATTAGTATACTAACTAACCGACTTCAAGCAAGAGGAGGTTAAAGTAGGTTTTTTATAAAAGAATAATTGTAAATTATTATGTTTTCGGCTTCCTCACGTAGTAATTCGACGAGGAACTCGACTAGTTTCAAGTCATGCTAGAGTCTCATATTCATGAGCAACATTTCGCGACCCGCGACGCGGCGACAGTCGCCTGGCATGCGGCAAGCATTGCTTAAAACTAGTCGAGTTCCTTGTCGAATTACTACGTGAGTAAGCCGAAAACATAACAATTTATTTAGTAATAATATGTCTCACGAAAGTTACAATACAAGAATAATTTGTGTTCACACTAGTCAAATTAGCAAAAAAATTTAAGTAATTCCCGGAGTTGTAATTTTTTGTGGAATCATTACAAGACATGTATATAAGTATCTATTCTCTTTGTTTGCACCATTTCTGCTATGTGTGGGACATCATTATCGTCGAGTACCGGTTTTGTAGACACAATTATGGAACAATAGGTTGCGGTCACCGGTGACCGCTTGGTGTTTGACAGTTTAAACAGGTACTAATATAAAATTGATTTGTGTTAAAATAAGTGAAATGAAGGGTGTCTTTGCATTATTCTCACTTAAACGTACAGTATTGGAATACGTATCAGAGACATTGTAGAACATACTTTTTTAGAAAGAGTAACGAATGTAGGTTCTTGCTCGTTTTTCTCCATTTGAATCTACATTTTTGGAATGAGCACCTAGCTTCACCTAGCTTCACTGACGGACTGACTGACAGACTATTACTTATTTTGTACTTGTTGACGTTTCAAAAGTACCAAATGATGGTTTAATTGAAATAAATGCTTTGACTTTGACTTTGCTATTCGATTGTTTATTATTTAATTAATCATCACTTGTTACTATTTACATATTATGAGTATATCGTTACTCAAGCGGCATCTCATTATATTTTTTCAATTCTACGTCAGATTGGCTAGCAAGCTTTTCCTTATCGATTCTGATGACGTAAATATGTAAAAATCACGTTGAGACTCTTCAAGCAAGTTACCTATATATAAGCAGCTACAAACTGCGCACGTCAATACTCGAGCAGCCGGCAACATGTGGAGGTGTGCAGTACTGCTGTCTGTCTGTTGGGTGGGACTAGCTGCGGGGCAGCTCGGACTATACGATGATGATCCATTTTCATTTCATATGGGTAAGTAATATTGTTTTCATAAGTGGCTTGATTAATGTCTGCCATTGTTCTTTTTTTATGGGATATACCGGTAAACGAGCAGAAGGTAAGTGATGGTAAGCAATTGGCGCCGCCCATGGACACCTGAAACATCAGGGGCATTACAAGTGCATTACCGGCCTTTTGGCAATTGGGAATTTGAGGATTGTGGGGGATTCGGGGATTGGGGAGCCTGGGGGTAAATTGGCCTCCGACAACCTCACTCACACGACAAATAAGAATAGGTATACCTAAGTATCTCATACTCATTTATTATTTATGTTACAGATTGTGGACCAAACGAATACTTCCATCAATGTACACATAGTTGTCCGCCAGAGCAGACTTGTGAAACACGCAAAATACATGTACTTTGTGCAGAAGTAGTGACACCCTGTATCGCAAAATGTATATGTAAAGAGGGTTACTACAGGAAGACTGAGGGTGGGGAGTGCATTCCAGAAGAAGAATGTGGTAAGACTGTAGTTTATTTACAATACTAATGGAAAAATTAAAATTTGCAAGCTCTCTTTTAAACGTTTTAACATTAAATGTTATTGTGATAATGACCATGGTTAGTTTAAACGAGTTTAATACTACAGATATTTTAAGAAAATGTAAAAATTATTATTGAGAATTGAAATCTTTTTTAACCCTACATTACTACTCATGTTGCGACGCACAAAGAAACTACTCATACGCTTGCGAGGCGCATCATATTTACTAATGATTTTATTAAAAACCTATAAGTATGATTGATATGTTTTGACTGTTTATGTAATTTTGTAGATTACTAAAAAAAGAAAAACACAATTTTAATTAATATTTATATATTTTTATTATAAAATCTTTAATCAAATAAATCTTAGAAACAAATTTTAGGATCTTAGGTAATTTAACAGTCTTCTCATTAAAAATAAAAAAATAAAAACTTAAAGTATACAATTCTCTTAAAAAATAGTAAATTATGAAGTAATCAACTAAAAAAAACTAACATTGTAACAAAAAAAATATTTTAGATGCATCCGATACATACATGAACATGATGTTCGCCGCAGATAGATTTTTGGCACTTGGCGCACGTCATTTTGGACATCCTCTTCTTTTTAGATGTACAATAAGAGCAATATCTTCTTTTTTTTGGGGGTGGTGGACCCTCATTATCTTCAGAACAGTCATCGGAAGGTTTTTATAGGATGACTTCAATTATATCCCGGATATTGCGCTTCAACGTAGGTGCTTCTAGTCTTTTTTGCATCCATTCAGTAGTCAACTGCGTGCTAAGTTTTTTCATAAATTGGCCTCTAGAAGTGTACACAATGTTTATAGCAGTGGTTCTACCTCGACTTTCACCTTTAGAAGTAGACCAACAGTGCTGATTCTTGCCCTTCAATGTTCGACGCGCCGGGACTAGGATACGGCGATCAGAACTGGATTGCTCCAAACTCTCACTATTTTCTGGGACAAAAGATGAAACAGATTCTTCAGCTCTTATGTCCCTGGAGTTCTCTATAGTTTCATCTTCTATGTACCCTTCTTCTACATCGTCCTGAACGTCTTCATCGCTTACATGATCTTCAATTTCAGAGTCATCTTCCGAAAAGTTATCATCACTGTTATGGTCGCTTTCTTCTAGCCAATTAGCTATAATATCATCCATAGCTTTTCTATTACTAGCCATGATGTTGAAGTTTCAAAACGTACCTAAAAAAAAGATAAAACACACTGGTAGTAACTAATAATGAACAAAAAAACACTAACAGAATAATTTGATTAATAGCGTACAACTTTCATACAAACTACTCATACGTCTTTGGAGCGCCAAGGGTAGTAATATCAAAAAAACTATTACACTTACCGTAACGCAACCACCGTCCTGCGACACGTGCTGGCGATGACTGAGATGTCCTTGAACGTGAATGCCGTACGCGCAAAGGATAAAAAGAGAAAGCAATATATTAAAAACGCGGGCGCCTCTGCGACGTAGAGTAGTAATCTAGGGTTAAAACCGTCAGCATAACTCTGTGGTTACCAACGAATGACGTTCGTTTATTGATTTCTAGGACCAGCATGTCCTGAAAACGAGGAGTACACGGAGTGCGCCAACCCTTGTATAGACTATTCCTGCGCTGCAATGGGGAGTCTGAAACCGAACTGTACAGAGCCCTGCGTACCGGGGTGTGTTTGCAAAAAAGACCAGTTTAAACAAAACGAGTACTACCCATGTTGGCCCAAATGTTATTGTGAGGAACTTCGAGATTCTCCCGAATGTGTGTAAACCCCATTATGGGGAAGATCTACATTTAATTAACGTAAAATTAATTAATCTAACATTTTGTTTAGAACGTCGTCAATTACATACTGTATACTGCTGTTAGTAAAAAGCATTAAAAGTAATAGTGGATTGAGAGAATAGAAAGCTCAATATCTCTGTCGATATGTAGAATAAGTTCGCCTTTTTACCACACACTCACTATATTACGTCCATTTTACTGAAAGCTAGGAAGGTAAGATACTTAAAACGTGAAAGGGTCTAACAGATCTCTTACTACTACTATTTATATGGCGAAATTTTTCTTATTTTCGTGAATATTTAATGGACTTTGTGTAACATGGACGCGAACAGTCGTACTTAACCTGTTTAGTTTTCTATTCTCTCAGTTGACGCTCAAATGCTGTTTGGTTCATCATATCGTTCAGCTGACGTCTCAATGAATCTATTAATCTGCATTGGTATCTTTGTTCTATTTCATGGTATTTGTTTTATGCCCATAATGAAATGTACCTAAATATTAAAAAATAAAATTATATAAATGCCTTCAAATATGGTATGGGGAAGTCCCTTAACGCCGGACGGCACCTAACGCCTTACGCTTGTATTGTCTGTATAACTAATAACGCGAGCGATTCAATTTTTAGGGGGAAGTCTCCCAGTGGCAGACACCTAAGATTTTTAGTAAAAATTGAATCGTTTTTTACTGACACGAGGTCAGTAAAAAATGTATAAGTTATCGACATAATACCGGCGTACGGTGTTAGGTGCCGTCCGGCGTTATGGGACTTCCCCCTATGTGTTTTGTTTGTTATGTTTTATTATGATCAAAATAATAACATAGACTGTAAAGTCAAAATCAATGAAGAAATGGAATAAGACCTTGAAATTACAAATGACAAATATATTACAATACACATATTAAACTGACCAGTACAAATATTAAACTGCGTTAATTAGTTTAAAATAATACAAACGAATAACAAAAATAAAAACTTCTAGAAAACAAATTCGCAACACAGATAAACCCATCAAAACAAAACTAGAAACAACTAAAATAAAACCGTAGGCCCAATTACCCCTCCCCAGTCTCCCGAATCCCGAACCCTACACAATCCTCAAATTCCCAATTCCCAAAGGCCGGTAACGCACTTGTAACGCTTTGGTGTTCCAGGTGTCCATGGGCGACGGCGATTGCTTACCGTCAGGTGATCCGTCTGCTCGTTTATCGGGTTATGCCATAAAAAAAAATGTTATCGTCATTTACAAAATCATCTAGAGTGTAATAACATTTTTCAAGTAATAGCGAGTGGAGACTTTTTTAAACTTCAGTAGAGGCATATTTTTTATAGTAGGTATTCGGTATTTGTAATAAATTTTAGATGGCATCCCAAAAAACTTTTACTCATTACAGTAGTTTTACATTTAATATTACACAACTGATATTTATATTGAGAACGTATTGGAGTTGCATTTTCATCCGATACTTTAGTTGTGGTAATTTTTTGTGGATTTGTTACAAGACATGAATATAAGTGTTCTTTGAGTTTGAACCATTTCTGCTTTGTATGGAATATCATTAAATATTAGGTGTTAACATAAATGATTTGTGTGTGAGTAAATGTAAGTGAAATGTAGTTGTTTACTGTTTATTAATCGTCACTTGTTACTAATTTACATATTATCAGTTTGTAGTTACTCTAGTAACATCACATTATATTTTTTCAATTCCAAATAAAGTTGGCTAGCAAGCAAATTTTCCTTATCAACTTTGATGACGTAATTGTGTATAAATCACGTTGAGACTCTTCGAGTAAGTTACCTATATATAAGCAGCTACAAACTGCGCACGTCAATACTCGAGGAGCCGGCAACATGTGGAGGTGTGCAGTACTGCTGTCTGTCTGTTGGGTGGGACTAGCTGCGGGGCAGCTCGGACTATACGATGATGATCCATTTTCATTTCATATGGGTAAGTAATATTGTTTTCATTAGTAGCTTGATTAATGTCTGCTCGTGTTCTTATTTAACCAACAGTATTGTCGTGCTTCACTAATAAAAAAATATTCTATAAAAGTTACTATTATTTGCAAAACGTAAAATTCGACAAAACGTTACCATTATCATATTACAGGCTTTTATTTAACTTGCAATGTATGTAAGTATGTATGAATGAACGTGTGTGAAGTGGAACCTTGCAATAAAATTTTGAAGCAGATATCTACGAACTAAAATATTGTCTATGTGTATAGTTTGCGAAGGAATGAAGGCTGTTCAATTCGAATGTTATAATTGTGGAAGCTTGTCGTGAGAATATAACCTAAGTATCTTATACTCATATATTAGGTATTTATTTTACAGATTGTGGACCAAACGAATACTTCGATCGATGTACACATAGTTGTCCGCCAGAGAAGACTTGTGAAACACGCTTAATAAATGTTTATTGTCTAGCTGTAGTTACACCCTGTATTCCAAAATGTGTATGTAAAGAGGGTTACTACAGGAAGACTGAGGGTGGGGAGTGCATTCCAGAAGAAGAATGTGGTAAGACTGTAGTTTAATTACAATTCTAATGGTGAAATTAAAGTTTGCAAGCTCTCTTTTAAACGTTCAAATATTTCGTAGTACTAAACGTCATTGTGATAATGACCATGGTTAGTTTAAATGAGTTTAATCTGAGATATTTACTTTGAGAAAATGTGTGTAACAACATAATTATTGACATTTGTAATCTTGTTTAAATACGTCAGTATAACTCCGTACTTACCAATGCATCACGTTCGTTTATTGATTTCTAGGACCAGCATGTCCTGAAAACGAGGAGTACACGGAGTGCGCCAACCCCTGTATAGACTATTCCTGCGCTGCAATGGGGAGTCTGAAACCGAACTGTACTGAGCCCTGCGTACCGGGGTGTGTTTGCAAAAAAGACCAGTTTAAAAAAAACGAGTACTACCCATGTTGGCCCAAATGTTATTGTGAGGAACTTCGAGATTCTCCCGAATGTATGTGAACCTGATTATGGGGAAGATATACATACATTTAAATTAATTTAGCATTTCGTTTAAAACGTCGTCATCGCAATTACATACTACATACCTGTTAATAAAAAGCAATTAAGTAATCTAGATCGAGAGAATAGAAAGCTCAATGTCTCTGTAGACATGCAGAATAAGTTCGCCTGTTCGCGTCCATCCACCAGATTACGTCCATTTTCCAGATTGCCAGGAAGGTAAGATACTTAAAAATGAAAGAATCAAAAATATGTCTATTAAATACTACCTATATGGTGATCGTTTTCTTATTTCTGTAACATGGACGCGGACTGGTGGTTGGACGTGAACAGTGGAACTTACCTTATTTAGTGTTCTAGTCTCTCAGTTGACGCTCCAATGCTATTTGGTTCATAATGTCGTTCGGCTGAAGTCTCAATAAATCTTCTGATCTGCATTGGTGTAATTTTTTTTTATTTATTTATTTAATTGTATTGCAATTGTATAATTTTATGTCCATGATTAAAATAAAAATATTTTAAATGTTAGTATGTATTTTGTTTGTTATGTTTTTTCTATGATCAAAGTAATTTCACAGACATTCAAGCTCAAATCAACCAAGAAACAGAATTGAGACCTTTATATTACAACTGATAGATAAATAATTATTTATTTAATCAAAAATATTAATTTTAGTTTGCCTGAAAATTGTTCAAATTGTTCATTTTGAAGAATCACTTTACTGAGTAATGTATAAGTAAAAAGTATCTCACTATAATTTAATATAATTCACAATAATTTTTAATGAATATAATTGAAATGACGCTATTAGCTGTCTGGGCTAATATTTATTTCTATTTTCGGTGTCTAAGTATGGTTGGCCTTTACTTATTCACTAGAAATATGCGTTTATTGATAACACGTTTTGTAATAAAATCTTCATCTTCTTTTCTTCCATTCTGAGTCATGAAAAGATATTACGGATTAAAAAAGATAAGCACATTAACAAAAAACGGCGCCACTGTCGCTTTAGGACGTTTCTCTTTTTTTGCGTCAATTAGTTCCAATTTCGTCCACTCAATATCAAAATTGGCTTGCTTTTCATTTTGATTTCTTGGTTTCTTCAGCCATGCATTCAGGGGCATTTACGAGTTGAGGGCATTCGCACAAAGGAACACAGGATGTGTTCATTCCTTTGCGAAGAAATCCAGGTTTGCAAGCGCATCCTTTCTCACAATTTGGTTTATCGTAACAGTCATAAAAGGCGACAATCGAGAAGCAGATTTGTGGTGGACATGTTTGTTTGCAGTCTGTGTATACTTCGTTATCACCTGGACAGGTTGGTGTTGGTTCTGGAAAGATATCAAAGTCGAAAGTCAAAATCATTTATTTCTATTAGACCAGGTAGGTACTTTTGAAAGTGAAGCCATTTGCTTATTCCAAGGTGTTAGATTCCTATGGAGAAAAACGAGCAAGAAACTCCATAGATTACTGTACCTACTACGAATTTTTGGTTGTTTATGTGAGCGGAACCAGCGTTGTTATACTTTAATAGGAAAAGTTGTAACAGTAGTTCTTTTCGTATGTTTTAAATAAGGTAGGTATTTTACTTTTCGTTAATGAGATTTACAACATTTTTTACATATTTTATTACAATCTGTTCTGTAGTCCAAAATAAACATTGTTAGATTAACACATTGAATTGGGTACTTTCCCAACTGTTTAAATTCAATACTGCTGCACCGCACCAACCGTGCAGACTGCACGGTTGGTGCGGTGGCTGGGCAACCGGCTGCCGTGCAACGTGTCACGGGTTCGATTCCCGCACGGAACAACACTTTGTGTGATCCAGAAATTGTTGTTCCGGGTCTGGGTGTCATTGTGTATGTGAACTTGTATGTTTGTAAACGCACCAACGACACAGGAGAATATCCTAGTGTGGGGCAACGTTTTTAAAAAAAAATAAATAAAAAAAAAATACTATTTCGAACTGGTTAAAACTACAACTTTCTAGGAATTTTTTGCGAGATTGTGTATTGTGACGTCATGTTTTTATAGCGAAGATAAAACAGCATACTTATTCCTTAAAAGTTTCTGGAAAAATAATGAAGTTAACATAACATTACATCACGCCTTTTATCCCCGAAGGGGTAGGCAGAGGTGTACATTATGCCGCTGTACAATGTTACATCCACTTTCCACTATGTTATGAGTCCCATGTGATATCTAATATAATAAAACTAAGTTGGTCATAAAATCAATTAATGAAAGTGTGATTACTTTTTAACATTTTATTGTATTGAACACTTGAAATTATTTATTTTTGATTAAGGAAAGTACACAATTGCTAATGGTATAGATCTTGCAGACGTTGCTTATAAGTAGCTTAATCAATTTCCTGAAACAATTTCACATGGCGATGTCTTTAATTAATCAAAAGACAAGACAATAATAATATTAATTCAGTGGTTAAATATTTATTTAATAATTGATAATTGTGACTTATTCTGAAATGTCAAATCAATAAATGCATTAATGATTCAAACAAAATACTGGAAGGTGATAAATCGTTTGACCTTCTTCTTCTCAATTCCTAATTATTTTTACAATCTGGAGAGTACTTCATCTCAGGACATTGACAGATAGGAACACAAGGAGATCCCAGAGATTTCCTTAAAAACCCTGGCTTACAGACGCAGTCATTTTGACAGGGTTCATTGACATCACAGCTGAACTTGACTACGAGGGAGACACATGTTTCTGGAGGACAGGACTTTTTACAGGTCGTGTACACTTCGTTCGGACCTGGACATATTGGTTCTGAAAGGGAGAACACATATTATTATTTTTTTATTAGTTTTCCATTAATAGACGTTTAATTACTTTACCAATTTAAATTAAATATTAGTTAAAGTTAAGTAGGCGACTGTATTTTAAGCTTTAGTACGTTAATAATGTTATTGTTAAAAATTAAATAATAATTATTTACTTTACAATCTACTACTTATTTCATGCATATTTCATAATTATTTAGGTACTCATACTAACGTTTAATCATTTTGGTGATTTCACAAAAATATTGTATTTTTGAGGTGTAATATTTATTTTCATTTGTTTAGAGATGAAATATTTGTTACAAGATCTATTTATGTTTTTATTAGGTTCATTTATGAGATAAAAGAAAATTAACTTTTTCAATCTCAAACTCAAACTCAAAAGCATTTATTTCAATTAAACCATAATTTGGTACTATGAAACGTCAACAAATATGAAATAAATAATAGTCTGTCAGTCTGTCTGTCAGTGAAGCTAGGCTTTAATATAAAAACCAATAATTTTGTTCAACATAATTATAATTTTATTAATAGTAATTATTTTCACATAGAGGCGATATGGTATATAAAAATAAAAGAAAAATAATAAAATAATATAATTTATAATTTATTTATATAATAATTTTCAATGGGGTACAATAATCAAAAAATATGAGAACATTTTTGAAGAAGGTATAAATCTCAAATTTTAAAGTATTACTTCAGGAATATTTGTTCAGGTACGCTACAAAGGTATGTTTATTTATATATATGTATATGTATGTAATCTTCACTGGAATACTATATCTTTATAGTAAGGTATATTGATTATATCTTCTGATTTGTCAACATACACAAATGGTTCTGCAAAAAAAAAAATACATAAAAATTACAAAAAAGTGTAAAAACTCGAACATGATCGTTCCAATTTTGCTAATTAATTTTGCGTATAAAGACTGACAAATATATCGTCGAAAGTATTCGTTTTTGTAAGAAAATAAAAAATACGTGACTAATGATTTAAAATAACCTACCAGACGGACATTAAAATAAAAAATAGGCATCTAAACATAACATCACGCCTTTTATCCCCGAAGGGGTAGGCAGAGGTGTACATTACGACACTGTACAATGTAACACCCACTTTTCACTATTTATGTTATGAGTCCCATGTAATAGGGGGTGAGCCTATTGCCATATACCGGGCACAATTCCAGACTCTGTGCTACTACTGAGATTTTCTTAAAACCCAGTAATTCTTTGCCCGACCCGGGAATCGAACCCGAGGCCCCTTGCCCGGCAGTCTCACTTGACCACTCGGCCAACGAGGCAGTCTTTTCAGACGAATCTATAATTATTCTAATCTGTATTCATTACAATTCCAGACTCCGTGCTGACCGATCCGGGAATCGAACCCGAGACCCCTTGCCCGGCAGTCGCACTTACGACCACTCGGCCAACGAGGCAGTCAGCAAAAATTGGGCATCTATCCTATTCCTTCGCAGCTGTGGGTGTTCATAGGTCGCGCCGATTGCTTAATATGAACCAGGTGATAAGTCTGCTCGTTATCCTATAAATATAGATACTTACCACACTTTTCAACAGGTACACATTCATTCTTAGCGTTCCTCACGCGGCCATCTTTGCAGACACATTGGTTTTCACATGGTTCGGTGGGCGTTACACAAGACACTGCGACGTACAAGTTTTGACAAGTCGTCACAGGCGGGCATGGGTGCAAACACAGTACTTCTTCGTGTTTCCCACATTTTAGATCTTTACCTATAATGAGAATAATAATTAAAATAATAATAATAATAAGCCCGCAGGGCACCTTGAGGCGAGGTGACGGGCATTAGCGATCCCGCGGGCTACCATCATCCCGAGTGCTCCAGGGAGAAGTCACCGTTCCTTCTTCTCCGGCTTGCCTTAATTGGCTGGCTGGAGTGAACGATGACAAGGAACAGGTCTCCCACCTCTGGCTTGCCTTCATTGGCCGTCCAGAGTGGAGTCGCGAGAGCAGTGATCCTGCTCGGAGGGTAAGAAACTATTCGTAAGTCGCGAGTGGGCCAGGGATGCAGGAGGCTTCGGCTGGAGCAGATGATCTGAGTAGAAAGCGGTGGTAGTTTCTTAACCCTTCAGCCACTCACATTCTCGTTGCCCCTTTGTTGCTATATCTAGCAACCATTCCCGGGGCCCGGTCGGTGAGTTGGCGAGTCTCCGCCTGCCATTTTTACGTGTAATAATTACATTGTTTCGGCAGGTGCCATAGTCATCCATAGTTCCCAGTTTCCCAGTCCACAGCAACCCATCCATAGCCCTACCTTTTTTTTTTCATTATCCACAATAGTTTTACACAAACCGGGGCTGTCCTTGGGTGCATTTCCATAGTGCATACAGGGATAGTCGCCGGTTTGTGTGTCCACTACATTTATATTAAAGTTGTCTAAAGGGCCTCTGCGCAGTTGACTTCGGCCCCTCGTACGCCTCCCAAATGACCGGGACCCTGTGGTCCCGTGAATGGTAAAAAAAAAAAAAAATAATAATAATAATTAAAAATATAAATTAGAATAGTAATTAAAATAAAATGGGCAGTAAAATAGATACTGACAATAGGCGTGTCGACAGGGTAAAAATATCAAAAAAGTAATTAGTCCGTCATTAAGATCGCACGAAAATATCAGACACATATTTTTTGTTTTATCAAATTAACAGAAGAATACGTAGTTATTCCGCATTAAAGTTATGGAGTGGGGGGTGTTGACGTCACACTTACGGAGAAATCGTACCTAAGTGTGACGTCACGCGTCATTTTAACTCAAAATATCTACATGTTTTTTTGGATACGAGAAAAAAGAAAAAATTCGTATCGAAGATTTTTAAAATATCTAAAAGACGGACAAAAAATTAAAAAATAGTCGCCATGCCTATTTTCACCAATTCACAAGCTGGATAATTTCTTGAACAACCGGAGCGACATTTTGGGCGATATTGAGTTATTATTTATAGGTATTCGACGGAAAAAAATTCGCTGTTTGATTATATCGAATAACTACATATTGCCCAAAATGTCGCTTAAATCAAATAGTCCGTTACCCCTCGATATAATTGAAATATTGTTTGCCACATATTTGCAACTGCTGCGCAAGAGTCCTCGAGTTCTCAGTCTTCCGCGGTTGTTCAAGTAATTATCCAGCTTGTGAATTGGTGAAAATTGTCAGTATCTATTTTACTGCCCATTAATTATAGCTCTACTACTTCTACTACCAGATGGTAGATACATATGAACATTTAGAAGCCAGCATAACAAGCTACCCTAAAACTGTCAATTTGTACTCTACATTTTTGTGTTAAGGTTGAAAATCTATTATAGATTACTACCATACTACAGTACTAGTGTCCGTATCTATAGTTGTTATCAGTCATGCACATATCATAATTTTAATAAATGAATATTATATAAAATAGCAATATATTTTATTACTAGCCTTACGGATCTAGTAATAAATCCATAGTCAGCAATTATCTACGATATATAATATTATGACGTCACAATACATGAGTAGCATAGATTTAGTACTTCCCCAAGTTGAAGAATCTTCTCATGGACTCGGGGAACACCGCAAACACACATTTTCCTACAACATTTACTGTTATTTTGTTTTTCATAGTTGGAAAAATTGCACTTGTCATTATGTGATTACTTACTGTTCTCTCGGTCACTGAATTGTTAGTAGAAGCGTATTTTTATTATTAAATAGGTATTGTACTCAAATTCATAGCAGCTTCGTTTTAAAGTACTTTTTTTATTTTATACACGAATTATTTGTTTGTTGTATAATATTTAGGGCGGTAAACATTTTTAAGGTAAACTTATAAAAAAAATCTCTTAAAAATACTGAAGAAAACTATAAAATTGTATTGACATTTTGGCCTATAGTTTTTTCTATAATACAAAATTATCATTAATCAGTAACAAAACACTCGCACAAAGAACCCAGTCATATGAATGCAAGATTTTTGAATTAAGAATGTAAAAAGACGCGCCAAACAAACCTCTTTGTAACTATTTGACGTCTATCATAAAAAATAATAATCATGATTGTTCTTTTTTCGAAAAAAATTAGAGGTATGTATTTTGTATGTAACTAGATGATTTATTGCAGATGTTAATTTCAAAAACTTGCCTTTAGTTGTATATGCGGCAGATAACACGACGCAGCAGGAAAATAATACGATGAACTTAAGCATCTTGACGTCTGCTCACTCAACTGGTTTCAACACCAATGGAAGTTCAACTAATCTGCTTTATTTATACCAGTTTCAGGGTTCCATGTGTTATCGATCAAATTGTTATTATAATAATAATATTCGAATAATTTGCGTGGTAATTTCCTTCTAATTAGATCGAGTTTTTAAATAAAAAATACTTGGAGTACGGAAATTCACAAGTATCAAGTTAAAGTAGTGACTGTTGGATATATAAACTCATCCCCTTAGGGCCGATTTTTTCATAAATATGTAAAAATCGTAGTCCCATATCCATTCCATAGTCTCTGAGCACACCCATTTTTTGGGTCTTGGGTGAGGCAAATGTCAGACTCTTAGGACTAAAAACCCACCCCGTTCCTACTCTTGCTCTCGCTCTTCGAGTCTAAGCCCCCCCAGCTTGTTAAGTCCTCCGCGGTTCCGCATCGGGCTTCAGCCCTGCTCCATCTGTTATGGTCTGTATGGCTCTTTGAGGCGTGCGTTGTACGCTCGGGCTATACATATATATAACGGGTGGCCGAAGATATATATAACATGTATTTCTTAGCAGGTAAGAGTCCAGCAGTACTCACACCTATTTTTGGAAAGATGTGAGTCTCCATGAGAATTTTTCCTACTGCTATATAGAGAAAAAAACACAACTCAAGCGTTTTTGACGTCGCTGATTCTTTATGAGACCACGGTGTCATTCGGGTTAAACCGATTCATTCGCGCCTAAATGTAAATTAGCATAACAGATTATATACATTGTAACTTGAAAGTAATTTTACATACATA